CACGCCAAAACGCTCGAGGCGGTCCCTCCTCGGCTTTTCGTCCTCGAGACTCGACCCCTCAGGAGTATCTGGCGACCCCCCCAACCACCCCCCTGTGTGGTGGCACCGCTTGACATTGCCTGGGCGTGTTGAGAATTAACTCCTAGGTCTTCGTAAGAACGAAGATGAACGATTATTGAAGCCGATAACGGATCCATTAAGCCGGAGTAGACCAGATTAACCTTAAGTCCAGTATTAACCCAGACTGACCAGGATTGACCTGGATTGACCAAATCAAGCAGGACTATGCCAAACCTGTTTTCGACCACGATATGCCAGCTCCAATGCTGAATCTAATCCGCCGGCCCCCTTGTGGGGCCACCAGGCTGTAGGACCAAGGTTTGCTGTTCCCTGCGCCAGTTCCAGCTTCCAGTATCCATTGTTACAGTACTGCGTCTTGATGCTTGCTGATCCTTGTTGATGGACCGCGCGAGGGAGAGTAGCCGAGAAGGAACCTGGTTACCACGCCCGAATCGGGTGCTCTGAATTCCTGGGGGGGGTGTGGGGCACGTACAAATCCGCCGATCCGGTGTGTGAGTTTCTGAGAGCGTGGTCTTGAGCTCGCTCAAGCTTCGCTCTGCCGGGGGGGGGGACCTCATCCGACCTCATCCGACGCAGTCAAAGCTCGGCACCCTCCCCCTCGAAGCCGCCCCCGCCCCCCTGGTGCTGGCCACCCCCCCCGCAGGCCCCCCCGTTGCCCGCACCTGTGCTCGGCACCCCCTCCCCGATGACCCCCCCCGATGCCGGCACCCCCCTCCCCCGCTGCTGGCCCCCCCCCGTTCCCTCGGTTCCAACACTTTCCCCCCCGTGCCCGCACCCGCCCCCCGGTGTCGGCACCCGCCCCCCGGTGCTCGCACCTTCTCCTCCCGGTGCCGGCACCCCGCCCGGTGCCGGCACCCCCCCTCCGGTGCTGGCGTGCCAGCACCTCCCCCCCGGTGCCGGCCTCCCGCCATGCTGGCACCCCGCACCCCCCCCCCTCCAGGCCCCCCCCCCGATGCCCGCACCTGTGCTCGGCACCCCCTCCCCGATGCCCCCCCGGATACCGGCCCTCCCCCCCCGTGCCGGAACCCCATGTCCCTCGCGACACTTCCCCCCCCCTTTGCCGGCATCCGCCCCCCGGTGTTCGCACCCGCCTCCCGATGCTCGCACCTCCTCGAGGTCCTCCTCCTGGTGCCCCCCCCCCCCCGGTGCCGGCACCCCCTTTCCAGCTGTGCCGGCGTGTCAGCACCCCCCCCTGGTGCCGGCCTCCGCCCTGTTCCTTCGGTGCGGGCGTTCCCCTCCCTCGTGCCCCCCCCTCCCCCGCGGGTGCCGTCACACCCCCCCCGGTGCCGGCCCGCCCCCCCGGCCAATGACGGGCCACCCATCCCTCCCCGTTGCCAGCACCTCACCCCCGCGCCCCGCGCCGACACTTCCCCCCCTGGTGCCGGCGCTCGCTCCCGGGTGCCGGCCCCCCCTCCCCGGTGCCGGCGCCTCCTCCTCCTCCTCCTCCTCCTCCTCCTCCTCCTTCTCCTCCTCCTCTTCCTTTTCCTCCTCCTCCTCTTCCTCCGTAGCCATTTTGGCTCAAGCCGGCCTCAAACCCCCTGGTCGCCATTTGCCTCTTTCGCTCATGGCCGGCCCGGGTGTTGCTGCTTGAGGACAATGGCACGGGAAGTGCTGCGGGGAGCTGCGGGCGCGCGGGCTTCTGCAGACAGATTGGTGTACAAGTTAAAGGATGAGCTTGGTTCAGCGAGGAGAGAGATCGCCAGGCTGCAGGACCTGCTGCATCGCAATTCCGCCAGCGACCCACACGAAGAGGAGCTGCTCCGCCGCTGGGGAGGTATCAAGCCCGTCTTGCGGGCCCAGCTCCGTGCCCGCGACGGTGTCGAGACATCCCTGTCGGACGCCGACATCCTGCGCCGCAACATTTCTGAACATGCTGCCGCTGCGCCGAACCCTGCGGCCCGCTGCGAGGAGCTCAGACGCGACCAGAAGGCGGAGCGCCTGGCCCCGCCACGGGCCTTGGTTGGGTGCACAATTTCGGTGAAGGAGCTGCGTGCCGACGCCGATGCCTTCATTCCCTCTTGCGGAGTGTGGGAGGCGCTGGACTGCAAGGAGCCCTTCCCGCCGCAGGGCGAGCTGGATGAGAGACAATGGGGCATGCGCTGCACCTGCGGTGCCGTGGCGTTCTCTGGCGAGCTGTTCGCCTGCCGAGGACAAGGCCGCAGGGAGACGGAGCCCCGTCATCCAGATATTGTTGCAGCTGAAAGGGCCATGAAGGTCGCGGCGCTCGAGCGGATCGACTACGAGCAGTGGGTCAACGCGCCCGCGCGGGCGCTCGGCAGCAGGCACCTCCAGGCGCGGCCGTTCGTGCGCAAGGTGGAGCGGCTAGCCCAGGCGGGCCGCGCGGGCGCCTCCGTGCCCGACACCTTTTTCGTGGAGCAGCAGGTCGTGAGGAACGACCCCGAGGCCGAGGAGGAGCTCGACGATGCGTCACTCGTGCGGGCCCTCGGCGAATCGATGCGCGCGCTGGACAGCGTGCTGCGGCACTACCAGTTTGGGCGTGAGGCGGGCAGGCCGCGGGCCCAGAGATGGGAGCCCATTCCTGGGGCGCCTCCGCCCCCGACCCCAACGACTGCAAGCAGCAGTGAGTGCTGCTGCGGGCCCCGCGCGGCCGCGTGCTGCGCCTGGGGGGGCTTTTCGGTTTCCCCTCCCTTGGGGCGGCGCGGCCGACCCTGAGGGGGCCTGGGGGGGGCTCGGTTCTGCCCCCCCTGGGGTGCCTTGGCCTCTGGGGGCCAGGCACGGTTGAAACCCCTGGACCCGCCGACGGGAGCTGCGGGCGTCCCTGCAGCGTCCCCCTGCTGCAGGGCCCGTCGGCGGGCGCTCGCGAAGGCGCGGTTTGGCCGCGCGTCGGATTCCAGGCGAGCCGCCGAGGGCGGCGACCGCTGTGCGCGAGGCACGGCGTGCGCGGCGCGCGGCGCCGCGGGCGGGGCGCGTCGGCCCGACTGACGCGTTCCCTAGTGCCCTCACCCTCACCCTCCTCCTCCTCTTCCTTTTCCTCCTCCTCCTCCTCCTCCTCTTCCTTATCCTCCTCCTCCTCCTCCTCCTTCTCCTCCTCCTCTTCCTTTTCTTCCTCCTCCTCCTCTTCCTTTTCCTCCTCCTTCTCCTCCTCTTCCTTTTCCTCCTCCTCCTCCTCCTCCTCCTCCTCCTCTACCTCCTCGTCCTCGTCCTCCTCCTCCTCTTTCTCCTCCTCCTCTTCCTCCTCCTCCTCCTTCTCCTCCACTTCCTTTTCCTCCTCCTCCTCCTCCTGCTCCTTCCAAGCCCACATCACCATCACCACCACCATCACCATCACCCTCACAATCGTTCGTCATTCGTCGTAGTGACTATCCCGCTCGTCGACGGTTGGTCGTCCGTTGTCGTCATCGTCCATTCCCACACGCATCAGGAGCGCCCCGGATCGGCGGCACTGGCTGGAGGCCACTACAATACGATGATAAATTCGCACCCCCGAGGCCATAAACCCTTGTAAATTACACAGTAGTCGCGTCCCCGAGGCCATATACCCTCGTGAATTACACAATATTCGCGTCACCGAAACTATAAACCCTTGCAACATACGCTATGTTCGTGTCCCCGAAGCTAAAACCTTAGTAAATTACGCAATGCTTGTGTCCCCAAGGCCACAAACCCGAGCAAATCACGCAATAGTCGCGCCCCCGAAACCATAAACCCTTGTAAATTGAAATATCCGCGTCTCCGAAACCATAAACCTGCGTAAATGATGCAAAATGTGCGACCCCGAGGCCATACACCCTCGTAACTTATGCAATCATCGCGCGTCCGAAGCCATACACCCTCGTGAATTACACGTATTCGCGTCTCCGAAGCCATACACCTGCGTAAATTACGCTATATTTGCGAGCCCGAAGCCATACACCCTCGTACATTACGCGTATTCGCGTATCCGGAGCCATAAGCCATCGAAATACAACACCGAATTCAACAATATCATCAGAATCTCAATTTGTCTTGCCGATTACTCATCGTTTTCGCGTGAAGTCCCGACGCTGCTTCATGGCGGCGCCAAGGCCTCATGATTTCGCTCCTGCATTGCCCATTCTCCGAGAGAGGGGGCCGGCGGCAGGGGGCGAAGCCCTTACGGATATCCCAGAAATTGCATTCGAATCTTGCCCAGGACCTGGGAAATCGATGAAGGGGGGGGGGGCGAAAGCAAATCCGCTGAAAATAAATCCCTGGAACCCTCCCGTGGTCGAATTTTTTTTTTTTTTGGAACCGCGTCCAGCCGTCCTTGGCGACGAGTGTGCCACTTTATCCACCCTCTCTGGCCGAAACCAATTCTGGGCCACCTCATGCCCTCAGCCGGCTCCAACCCGAGAGCTCTCTTCCCTCAACAGCAAGCGCTGTCCAACATCGACAGTGGCCGCTGTTGGGTGAGAGATGTTTTGTCACCAGTGGATCACGTCTACAGCGACGCAAATAGCGAGTCCTGAAGTAGTCAAGAACTGCTGTCTGTCTTCGTCACCTTCTTTCAGTACCCATCGGCGACCTCGAAGGGCGTGCTTTGCAACCCCTCATCAAACCTTTGGCGCAACGTGGTGACCCTCTCAGCTGAGGGGCAGCGACGCCGGGGGACTGGCTCAGGGGGGGGAAGCATCGACCTGGAGTCGGCGATACATCGCGGACAGGTCGGCGATAGGCCCCCGATGGCGAAGCGAATCCGCACGTTCGTGGTGAAGCTATCCGGCCCCCGTCGGCGATGAATGGGGGTGACTGGGGTCGATGCGTCCCTCACGTGGCCTTTTCCCCCGATCGTTGCCCCTCATGAGCCCCAACGGCGCCGATCGCGAATCACACTCTGGCGTAACCGCCCCCCTTGCAATCGTCGAGCCCACGCTCGTGCCGGGCACTGCCAGGGCGAGGGAGGCCCAAGGGCCCTCTCTCCGCAGCCCTCCCTCCGGCGCCCAGGCCAGGGTTGCCCTTGACCAGCGGGATCTGCATGCCGGCCAGGTGCACAACGGCCGTCGGGCTCGCGGCGAGCACGAGGTCCCTCACCTGCCAGCACGAGGGGCTACGTCAGGGCGGGGCCAGCTCAGAGGGGGGCGAGGGGGAACGTCCAGCCGGAATCGGCGATGCATCGCCGCTAGATCGGCGAGAGGCTCCCGACGGCGAAGCCGCACGTGCCTGGACAGGCTGGGCCTATCAGGCCCCTTTCGGCGATCAGTGCCCGAGCCTATTCCCCCCACAATTTGCCCCCGACAACACGAGGAGGAAAGTCGTCGTCTTCGTCAGCACAGCAGGGGGGTCCCTAGAACCCCTCGCGTCTTCAAGCAACGATGCGACGGCCGAAACTTTGAAACTTTCGGCCTCTGGGGGACCTCGCCGGGTTCCGGGGCCGTCGCGAAACGACTCGGGATGAAAAGCCGGTGCCGGGGAATGAGTCAAGACCTCGTCGTTGTCGTCGTCGTCGTCGTCGGCGTCGTCGTCGGCGTCGGCGTCGGCGTTGTCGGCGTCGGCGTCGGTGTCGGAGTCAGCGTCGGCGCCGGCGTCGGCGTCAGCGTCGTTGTCGTCGTCGCCGCTGTCTCTCATTCCTCTAACCCCATCCCCACCTCCATCGGGCATGCCGTGGGGCGCTCACGCCCACAGCTTTCAGCTCCTCCCCATCCTTCCCCTCCTCGTCCTCCCCCCTGACTCCCCCTCTCCTCCTGAATCCTCCTGCCTCCTCCTCCTCCTCCTCCTGATCCTCCTCCTCCGCCTCCCCCTTCATCCTCCTTCTCCTCCTCCTCCTCTTCCTCCTCCTCGTTCTCGTCCTCCTTCTCATCCTCCTCTTCTTCCTCCTCCTCCTCCTTCCTCCTCCTCACCCCCTCGGGGAGCGGGCGCGGAGGCTGAGCAGTAGGGCGAGCTGCCCGAGGGCCTGCCCCCAAGGGAGGAACGGGGGGGAGGAGCGATAGAGCCTATCTTCTTGTTATTCGGGGAGGGGGAGGGGGGGGGAATTCCCCCCCCCGATCACATCACGGCGCGGGGCCGCCGGAAATCTTGGAAACTCCTCGAAGACTCCGCGGGACATCCTTGCACCTGTGGGCAACATAGCGTGACGTGATCCGGGAGGAAGGGGGGAAGGGAGAGGGTCGATCACGGCCGTTATCGCGAATAACCCTTGAAGACATGCTCGAACAGGGGATATGCCGACCCCTATCCTAGGCCTCCCCTCCTCCTCCTCCTCCTCCTCCTCCTGATCCTCCTGATCCTCCTCCTCCTCCTCCTCCTCCTCCTCCTCCTCCTCTCCTCCCCCTCCCCCTCCTCCGCCTCCTCCTCCTCCTCCTCCTCCTCCTCCTCCTCGTCCTCCTTCTCATCCTTGGAAAAACGGTCGCTATCACGCACACCTTGAAAACATGCCCTAAAAGGGGGTATGCCGACCCCTTGAAGCTTGGCGCCGCAAGGGCGACTTCTCCCCCCCGTTCCGCTGCCGGTCGCCGCGCCTCTGCGTCCCCACCTGCCGGGATGTCTGGGCCGGTCACCTGCCGACGCCGTATGCGTCTCAAGGAGGGACATTTTGTCCCTGGCACGTGCATACGCCACTGCGGCCAATTTACATCGTACCGCGCCCCGGACGTTGTGCCCGCTCCTTGTCCCTCGCCTTGGAGCCGCGAACCAAAAAGGGTATGCCGACCCCTGCCCCAGGCTTTGGGAGGCCTTCGACTGGGCCAGTCATTCTGGGCTCAAGCCTGGGATATACGGCGGGGGGGGGGGCGTCCCATCTTCGACAGGGGTGCGTTCGAACGGCACCCCGGGGCGTATCCCAGGGCATCCAACCATTTCTAGAGGCCAGAACTTTTCGGGCGGAAGTCAGGGGTTTGGGGAGAAGCATCGCATGCGAGGCGAAGCGCGAGGGTGCGGAGGACGGATGAGTGGTGAGGAGAGGGAGGAGGGATCAGAGATGTTCTGTAAAAAGACGATAGCTGTGGCCTGAGTATGTTCTTAGGGTGGAGGGCTCAGGGTGAAATCCATATGGGCTTCAGCACCTCGAACATCATTCCGTCTTGTGATTCACCTTTTGCAGATTCAGGCCTCGAAAATCCATCGAAATGGCACTTCAGATGTCACCCTTTGCCCTCCACCCAAAGAAAATGCTCGGGTAACTCCGTGTTCAAAACAAACAATCTCGTTCCGTTCTGGGCGCCGCTCGCGCTGTGTTCTCAAGTCTGGGATCGGCCCGCGGCCCACCTGCACGTTTCCTTCCAGTGCCTAAAACGTTTCGGATACGTTTGAAGCCTCCCACTGCCACCTGCCTGACGTCTACATCCCATGGGGTCGTGTTTAGACTGTTTGCGCCAACTCACAACGAAACATAGACATGGGCAAATCACGCCCCTAGAGTTGTAAGAAAAACCTGCGGAGAGGGAGTAGGGATGATAGAAAGGGGGGGTGAGGACGGGGGAAGAGGAGAGAGGTATGACTGCGTACAGTGGAGTCTCATTGGAGAGGACGCGCGAGTGCACAATACCCTTCAGAGGGCCATCTTGCCACAGGAATGCGAAGGGCACGGGGCGCGAAACACTGCTCACAAAGGTACCTTCGAGGGTCGACCTGCTAATCAAACTCGACTGTAAAAGGCGGAGGGAAGAGGGAACAGGAGTGGGAACGAGAAAAGGAAAGGGGGGACGTGAGGAATGCAACGGCGGGGGAGAAGACCGGATGACCCTGGTCTATCCTCGATACGTTGGCTACGCAACAGCGAGGGGGGCGAGCCATCGATTGCACAAATCAGGCCATCACCCATCCTCACTCTTAGCACTTCGCGGTCCGCGAACACCGCCCTCCGATACGTTTCGATTTTTCCCAGTCCTGTCCCCACGACCTCTCGATCACCCTCCTGGGGCTCTTTTTGATCTCAGCTACTTCTTTGATTATGTTCCCAAGGTTCGGCAACTCCCCAAGGCAACACAGCGGGACGAAAACGGCTGTTTCGTTTTTCTTACATCGCGTTCGTAGAAGCAGGGATCAAGGATAACCGCAAACTTTCGGAGTTCCATGCGGGCTGTTGGATCGGTGCTGACATCCTTCCCCTGGCGCGCGGAGGCGGCGCAAAGGGGGGTTCTCGATCCAATACACCCGCGCAAAGCTCCGAAACTTCAAGTCTGTAATCATGCCTCGGACGGGGCTAGGACGAGGAAAAGTCCGTCCCAGAAGGTTCCGGGACGCTCCGAGAAGGCCGCGGCGCCCGCGACGTCCTCCAGAGCCGCCGAGATCTCAGAGATTCTCGATCTATCCCCATCCGATTCCATCCTCGCCTTGGTCTCGTCTTGCGCTTCCTGTCGGGCGTTGGCAGAACTGGGTTTAGTGGAACCTGGTTTAGTGATTTGTACCGGGGGCGCCCCCCGTCCCATGTCCTCAAATTAACCGGAACTGCCGTCACCCGAAAAACACCTGTTACGGCAAACCTGGTTTAATGAAGCTGGCCAATTGAAGGGCCCCAGGGCCCTACCAGTAACCGGGTCCCCTTACCCGGGGTCCTGGCTATACCCGATCCTGGGCCAAGCGGTTGGCTGGTGCTCCCTGGGCCCCACAAGCCGATGAGGCGAGCGGCGGGCCGTACGCGCCTGCCGCCGTCGGGCCCTCCTCCGGCCGCCACCGTCGGCGCCGGTGCCGACGCCGGCGGCGGGACTTGCGGGCCGACGCGTCAGCGTCGCCGATGCCGGCCAGCGTCGGCGGCGTTCGATGCTTGGCGGCACCGTCGTCGTCCCTGGCACGGGTGCGAGGCAGAGCCAGGGCGCAGACGAAAATCGTACCGGGACGCCTCGGGGAGATCTGTGGATTCTGGCGGTTCTGGATGATGCCTCTTGGGCGCGAATTCGCTGGGGTGCGATAGATGCGGGGAAGAGGAAAGCGGCCTTTTTCGGGCCCTCAAGGCGCCCGACAGGGCCTAGGGGCCTCAAGGGCCCACCCTGGAGCCGAAAAAACGTCCGGATGAAACCTTCAAGGGCCCCCCCCAAATGCCGCGCTCTTCGAGCATCGGGCGCCGCGGCCGTTCCGGAGCGCCACGGGGCGCTCCGAGAGCGTTGCGCGAGGCTCTGGCGCGACTCGTGTCACCCCGATCTTTTTGGCCCGCCGGGAAGCAGACCCGGGGGCCCCGCCGTGCCCGACCACGGCGGCTCTTGGCCCGCCCGACATCCACACCCCCGGCGTCGTGATCTTTCCTCGGCGTGAAAGCCCTGCACGCTCGACCCATCTTCATCCTCAATGGTTTTTGTTGTCCAACCTTCCTGTGTTGGGTTCTCGTTTTGAATCGAACTCAGCGGTCGCACGCCGTCCCGTTTTGTTTCCCCGTCCCTCCTGCCTCTCACCTCGCTCCTCCGTGCGTGCCAGCTTGCCTCTTCCTACCTGTCCATGTTTGGGGGCTGGCGATTTGCGAAAATGTCGCCACTTTCGAAAGTTGCTGGGGTGTCCACCCGAATGACGTTTGACGTGGACTGGAGTTCGACTTCGCCATCTTTGGGGGGCTGCGATCTGCGAAATTGCCTCCATTTTCGAGGGTTGCTGGGAAGACCGGCGGAGTGACGTCTCACGCGGGCTCAAATAAGACTTCGCCATCCCTTGTGGGCTGCGATCAGCGAAACGATCGCCGCTTTCGAATGCTGCTGGGGGGTCCAGCGGGGTGGCGCCTTACGTGGACTTAAGTTCGACCTCGCCATCCTTGGGGGAAGGCGAGATCCGGAACTGTCGCCACTTTCGAAAGCTGCTGGCGGAGTGACGTCTTACGCCGACTCTAATGACGCTTCGTCATCTTTGGGGGGCTGCGATCTGCGACATTGTCGTCACGTTGGAGGGCTCCTGGGCGGTCCAGCGGAGTGACGTCTCACGCGGATTAAAATTCGACCTCGCCGTCTCTGGGGGGCTGCGATTTGCGAAGCCGTCCCCACTTTCGAAGGCTGCTGGGGCCCCGCGGAACGCGGATCACGGGCGGACCTCGGCCCCATGGAGGGCTGCGATCCGCGACGCTGTCGCCAATTTCGAAGGCTGTTGGGGGGTGCAGCGAAGTGACGTCTCACGCGGACCGCCAACCTTGACCACTTCTCCCAGCCTGGACAACATCCTGACGGTACGCGATCCCGGGCTGGATTTCCTTGCCTGCGGGCCGCCCGCAGACCTCGTGGCGCGCCTTCGAACGTTTCGCTCCCGCACTGGGAAATGCAGGAAGGAAACAGAGAAACTACCGGGCGAGCTGGGCCTCGTTCGCTCCTTGCACTCGCCATAAGCAGGTTTGATCTTCTGGAGCGCCGCGACGATACAGCGCAGGCAGCGCTGCACCTTCAGCATACGACCGACACAAGCAGCACTCTCCTCTCCTCCCGTCGTTTTCGTCGTCGTCCACCTCCCCCCGTCAACTTCTCTCTGCTGCTGCCGCGTAGATTGTTCGGCCCCCTTCTCGCGTCCTTCTCCTGCTCTTCGTTCCAGCCCCCATGTCCTCGTCGAGCCTGGGCTCTCGCCCCTCGTCCTTCTATTGCTGTCCTGTGATTCATGCCACGCGCGCGCGTATCCCACGTAGCCTGCACACCACAAAACGGCGCTTGCACTGCCATCGTCCTGGCAAGTTCGGGCCAACTCCTCTTACCACGTGAGGCAAATGGGTTGGGTACGTCACAGGATAATGTTTTGACGGCCCTGAAGACGGGCAAGGCCCCCCCCCAGCGGCCCAAAAATCCCCCAAACACGCTCCGTCCTGATTTGTCCTGGCCCGAGGGTCGGCGGCGAGCGCGGCGGGAAGCGAGAAGGAGAAGGCCTCCTCATTAGGCGGCGGGCCTTCCCAGAAGCGCTCCTCGCGCCTTCTGCGGGGGCTCTCGGCGTCTTCGGGGAAGGCCCTCAGCAAACTTCTCAGAGGGCCGGCGGACTTCCGAGCCTCCTGGGGAGGCCTCCTGCTTCTCGCTTCCCCCCCTCGCTTTCTGTGGGAACTCATGGGAGCCTCGCGTAACATCTCGTCGGCTCTTGCGAAGCGAAGCCAATCGACGCTCAATCAGCGCTTATCGACGCTAAGTCGACGCTAGCCGACGCTAAATCGGCGCTGTCTCATCGACTCTAGACGCTCATCGACGCCAGTCGGCGCTAAAGACGGACTTGAGAGGGCACAGAAGGCTCCCATGACTTGCTGCCGAACTCGCTCGCTGTCGAGTCTTCGGGGGCGCGCATATATGGATTAGCGATCCATGGATCTCGCGCGCGGTCGCCAAATCCACGCATCGGGGGAGGTGCCCTGCCCGAAATGCGGCCGGTGCCGCCTCGCTCGGCGACGCGGAACTCCACGATTCCCCATGGAAACGGGACCCGTCGCTGATCCACGCCCCCTCGATCCATGTGTTGCGATACCCTGAGCACCAGGCTCCCACGACTTGCTGCCTAACTCGCTCGCCGCCGAGCCTGGGGAGCAGGCCCAGGGGCCCCGCCGTGCCCGACCCGCGTCGCCGCCGCGGCGTCTGTGATGTCGGCGTGCACGCAGCGCACGCGGGAGCGCTCCTGCGGGCGCCCCGGGCCCCTGCCCCCCCCCGTCGTCCCCTCACGCCCAGTCCTCGCCGCCGTCCCTCCCTCCACGGTCCCCCTCCCTCCGCCCCCTCCGCCCCCTCCCTACCTCCACTGCCCCCTCCCTTCCTTTCATTCCTCCCTTCCTTTCCTTCCTCCCCTCTTGCCCTCCCCCTCGACTTCCCCTCCCTGCCTCCATGCCGCCTCTTTTGTCTCATCCTTCATTTCCCTTCCCCCTCCTCGGCATCCTCCTTGAGCGGACGGAGGGAGACGCGGCACCCGTCCTCAGACGCCTCCCCCCCCGTCCTTGATTGTGAGGGGGGGCGCGTCCCTCCTCCTCTTCCCTCCTCCTCTTGCTGGAGTGGGAGCGGTAGGGATCCCCTTCCCCTTCCTCTCTTTTCACCCTCCCACCCTCGTCACTGCTCTCCCCTTCCGTCCGCCTCCTACCTCTCCTACCTCCTCCTCCTCCTCCTCCTCCTCCTCCTTCAAACCTCCAGATGTTGGCCATGGTGTCCATCCGACGCAGCCGTCCCCCAGGGGCAATTGCCCCGGGGAAATGATAATATCAAGCTCGGATAGCTGTAGAGAAACAACGAGCGAGCGACGGATCCCCGCCCAAGAGTAAACATAGCTGTCCCCCCACACCGTGGGGGAGGGGGGGGGGGCAAGCCAGGTGCGCTCGCATCATGTCTGACGTCTCCTACCCCTCCCTCCCATCCCTTACCATGGCGTAGTTATCCTCTCACTTCGCAATGTCGGGTGCAGAGCAGGGCAATGATCGCGAACAGAAGGGGGAGGAGGGGCATGGAGGGGGGAGGAATAACGGCAGGCGGCAGTTGAGGCGCAAACGGGGAGGCGGAGTGGTTGCGGTGAGGACTTGCGCGTGCGGGGCTGGCCTGGGCGCGGCCGCGCTCGCCCGTGGGGGGAGGCTGAAAGGCCTGTCCTCGCCACCGCTCGGACGTCCATCCCCCGTGTATGCTTCGACGGCGTGCGTGTACTTCGTCGCAAGATGGCCCAGGATGCGCCTCGATGGTCCTCGTCGACGGACAAATTCACACGTCCGAGCGATGCCAAGACAAATCTCCGGACGCCCACCACGCATCCCCGTGGCGCGCTCCCCCTGGCGCGAGTGGAAAGGTCGCCCGCAGGCGCCCGCAGCCGATGCGCGGTGTGCCCCCTGTGGCCTCGACTTAACCGCCCCCGAACGCAGCACGCAGCCTGTAGTGCGTTGACACGGGGCTCAGCGCGTAGATTGAAGACGTGCCCATAGTAGGTAGAAACATGAAGTAGGCAGGCGCTGAACATGGGTCCGGTTTCCGCCCGCCCTCTGAAGCGAACGGAAAGGCGTCGAAAATAGATTGGGTTTCCGCCCGCCCCCGAAAGAGAACGGAAAAGGTGAAGCCACGCGATCCTTGAAGTAGGACGGCGCCTACTGCACATTGGAACCTGGGGATCCAACAATACCCACTTTCAACGAGCGATGGGTAGGTCTTGCGCAGTCCGTCCATCGGTCTAGTCTCCCCCTGCCCATGGGACCCCCCCCCCGGCCAGCCCGCGCTCCCACGACAGGGCGCGGGGGCCCTCGCCCGCCGCGAGTCGGGCGCAGGGAGGCCCCGGGCGTGGCAGGGGTGGCGACCGGCAGCCTGGGGGGGGTGTCCCACCAGGCGCGGGGGCAGGAGACTCCAGAATCGAATCGATAAGTCGGATCGGCGATCGAACTGATTCGGATCGGAAGACATCGACAGCCCAGTCGGGAGAAGTCGAATCGGCGGAAATCGGAAGGTTAGCAGGCCTCTATTGAGAAACCGGAGTCCAGGTCGGAATCCGAAGTCGAATCGAATCGGAATTGGAATCGGAAGCCATCAAAGTCGAATCGACTCGAATCGGAGAAGTCGAAATGAGCCCTGCGGGGGTGGCTTTCGAGCTACCCTGGCGGTGGCGCTGCTGTGGCTCGGCAGCGAGCGAAGGAGGGGAAGTGAAGAGCAGGCCTTCTCAGAAGGCGGCGGGGCTTCTCAGAGGCCCTCGCGCCTTCTGAGAAGCCTTTTTTGTGTCCTCGGGGAAGGTTTAGAAGACTTCTCGGAAGGCCCGGGGACTTCGGCCCTCTCCTTCTTACTTTCCCCCCGGGGGCTCGCCGCCGAGTTGCTCGTCTCCTTCCCCAGAGGCCTCCTGGATGCGGTCGGAGCAGATGTGGTCGGATCGCACTACATCGCCGATGCATCGGCAATGCGTCGGCGATGCATCTGGGATGCACTGGCGATGCATCGTCGACGTCGGCGATGCATCGTCGACGTCGGCGATGCATCGGCCACATCGAGTCGCATCTGCATTGGCGATGTGGCGCGATCCTCTGACCCCATCTACTCCGACCCCATCCAGGAGGCCTAGATTCCCCCCTCACCATATTCGATCCCGAAACCACCACCCCATTCTGCCTGGCCGAAATGCGGCAGAGAGCGCGGCGTCGGGGCGTGCATCTGCGTGCAGCAACCCTAGCGGCAAGAGCCACGCACACCACGGGTGACTGGCGCCAAGGGTTGTGCTCGACACAGTGCCGAGCAAAAAAATATCGCCTCCCAGGGCCCAACGCGTGAACACCCCCCCAGTTTCGGTAATTTCTTGATGCTCGAAATTCTTTCTGGTGGCCGAGGCTAGAGTGGGTTGGAGCATGATTTGGCGGTGCGCAAAGGTGGTAGGGGCGGGAGGGAGGCTTCTTTGAAAGGGGTTGCTCCTTAGAAGCGCCGGCCTCACATTTACGGAGAAGGCCCGCGCCTCCTAAGAAACAGGGGTGCTTCTGAGAAGCCTCCCCCCCTCCCCGTACCTCCCCTCTGCACGTGGCCGAATCATAACGCCGAGGGCCTCTCCTCTTGCCCCACGGGGGTGATCCCGGCGGGGACGGCCCCCCAGTCGTGCCCAAAGAGCCCTCGGACGACGAGGCAGGTCCAGGGCTAACCCGTGGGCAGGACTGGGCGCCATCCTGGGATGATCCCCAAGGCTCCCTCCTCCCTCCTCCCTCCTCCTCCTCCTCCCCCTCCTCCTCCTCCTCCACCTCCGTCCAACGGCGGAGGCCTCTTGGGTGCAGCACCCCCCCACACACCTCCGATGCAGCCCCAGACCATCCCACAATAGGCTGGTGGAGTGATGCTGGCTTGGGTGCAGGCGGGCGCTTGTGCGGCAAGTGCTGTGGTGTGGAGGCAAGGTAGGCAGCTGGGCTGTACCGGTGCAGGCATTTGTCTGTCTGGCGACGGCCAACGATTGGAACGTGCGCGGATGGGGGGCAGGTAGCGCTTAGATCTGGTTGCGGTGTGGCCGCTGCCCGCGGCAGTCTTGGCCAACGCCGCGACCGCCGATGGTTGCGCTCCCGGTCCCTCCCACTCCCATAGTGGCCCCCCGCCCTTCTCGCCGCCACGCGAGTGGGAAACAGCAGGGTAGTCGGTTCGAAGGTGGGGGGGACGG